CCTGGAGCCTGTGAGGGCTGTTTCTGTGCTTGATGCATGCACTAATGCAGCTAATAAGCTTTTTGGAACAGAAATCATCTATATATCTGTCTGCACAGTCTGTGCCACAATGGGGTCCCATTCTCAGCTGATCTTTAGTAACAAAAAACCCAACAGCGAAACATGTTACCACAGTGGAAGGTGTGTATTGCATCAAAGGCAAATAAGAAGGATTCTGTGCATCACTGTGACCAGAGTGTAACAATCTTAATAAATGTATACAAGACTGATGAGGAGCAAAATCTCTCTCTCTTCTGACTCGATAGGGAAAAAAAAATCATTTAAAGGAAATAAAAGACAATCTAGGTAGAGTAGACCCACCTAATATAAACATATAGGCTGCTCAACACATCATTTACATTCTAGGTTAAGTTGTTACCTTGTAATAGAGAATTTCCTTAAACTGAAAAGCAGAACTGCTGATATTAGAATTACCTGGAATTAAGGCCATTTAGGTTTTCTATATTTTTGGCAAATGAATAAAACCATAACCACCCCATTCTGCAGAAATCTAAAGTATACTTTTTTAAAAAAAGGTTTTTTTCCTCTCGACTCCACAAACAAATACACATTTATCACTAGTTCACAATGCTATCCACAAATGTTTCCAGAACTTCTGTTGTTTCTACTTTCTTCCTCTTTTTCTTACACTAGCATATTCTTGAATGTCCTTAAAAGGCTGCTTAATGCATTCTCTCTTTCTTACTGGTGGAGGCAAAGTGATTTGAGACACCTACTTAGCTCAACTGTAGCATCTGAAAATACACTGGAGGAAGTGACTAGTCATTCAAAGTGTTGCAAACTATTACCCTTAAGGACCAGATTTCTAGCCTGATAGTATGCAAAAAAGGCTATGAAAGGAGGTTACTTTCTGGCCTGGAAATTCTCCCACAATAACCCAAGCAATTTAGCGTTAGTATTTTGTGTCTTTAAGAGTAAGTCTGCCCTGCAGACTACAGCCTAGTGCTGCAGACAAGTTACCAAAAGCCATCCCGTAGCAGCAGCAGGCAGCTCAGTTTAGACTGACAGGCTGGACAAATAAGCACATAGTCTGTAGAGGCACCTCTGCCGCAGGCTGGGAAGAGACAAATAAAAGAGGGCAATGCATCAGGAGTCCACTTTACAAAAGCAGCTGCTTGCAGCCATGGGGATCCTCAGTAGCTTTGGACTGATTCTGAGCTCAACAGTTAGACAAGACAGGTCATGAAGTCGCCATATCTTTGTGAAGATATTGGTGCTGTCCGTCAGTCCTAGTGGTAAGGTGAGCTGGACTAGAATCTCTAGTCCTGTCTTTGCAGACTGAGAAAATATCTTAAAGAAAAAGCTACAACAATCTAAAATGCAATCTGAAGGGAAAAAAAAAAAGACAAGTGCACGTGATATAATACATTCACAGAAATACTGATCATCAAAAGTAAGTTAAAGAAAGAAAGAAAAACCTAACTTGAATTCAAATATTTTATTTTCTCTTATTCTTTCAGCTTTTTCCCATAGGCACCAACTGGAAGGCTATATTAATAATGATAGAAACCAAACCATCACAACAGACTTTTATCAGGGTAGCCCGAGGAGGGAGCATTACCGGGAATGCAGTTTTGTCTTCATTGGCCATATTATGTTTACAGAGTTCATGTAAAAGAAATGAAAATAATTTCCTGTAACAGCTTTTACTTCTATGCACACATAGTCTATGAACCCAGAAATCTAAACTCACTCTCAACACTCAAGTTATAGCCATGCACCTATCTTTCTTAACATACTATGCCATCTTGTGGATGAACTCGTCTCAAGCAGTTTTCAGATTAATTTTGTTCAATTTGTGCTTACGTTATTACATCAACTTCCCATTCATTTAATCAGGTTGTACTTGTTATGTCCTGACCCTGCTGAAACAAACTGGTTACCTTATGTGATTCTAGTGATGAAGATAACAAAATAAAACCAGTATCCATTTATTCACTCATGACCTTCACCCAATTTGTAATTCGAGCAATCCTAATGTGTTTCTGAGTTCGCAACAACCAGCACATTCTACACGGCTTTTATAAAAAGTTGTGAGTACCGTGAAGATTTAAGAAAACAGAATATTTGGGGAACTTCATTTTATCAGGATTTTTACTTGCAGCGCAAGAACAAACACGTGGGAACTCCACCTTGACTACTACCGACAGTTTTCTTCCTTTCGTACACAAAAAGGGACATAGCTACTTTCTGCCGTGATCAGACTATTGAAAGCTCAATGCCAAAGCTGCTAACCCGTCCCATAGTCCTCGGTTCCAGGAACACGGACGACTTAAGCTTTGTGGGAACCCGTGTATATCCCCCTCCAGGCCGGAAGGAGGCTCATCCCGAAGCCTGGCAGCAAACACGCGGGAATTCGACTAACTCTGGACGCGCGAAGCATCGCTGCAAAGCAGGCAAAGGCCCTGCTGCATCACAGGAAAGCAACCTGGCAGCTGAAAGTAAAAGGAGAACGCCACCAAAGTCACTCGACTGAGATGAAAGGAATCATTTATTCATCTGAAAAAAAGCCAACAGCTTTTTCCGGGAATAGCTTTGCAAGCCCTTAGCTTGCTCACAAGCATTTATGGCTCCCGCTGAAGGAAGGGCCGATACCCAAACACTGGTCCTGTAACCTCACTTTTGTCTCTCAGCCCGTTTAGTCTTTATTTTCCAGTCAGCAGACTAGCGTTATTTTGCCAGCCAGGGCAAAGAAGTTTAACCCTGGCAAGGTGCGGTTTTTTTTTGTACTTCCACTCCGGAGAAAAATCTCACTTCAGTTTCCTGTCCCTCTTCCTCCTGGCAATCTCCGTTGGTCCTGGTTTGCCCCACCTGTCCCTGCATATATAAATACATAGCTATGTATACAGACATATACACTCCCCTCACCTCC